CATTATCATTGAAAATGTTTATGCTGCGGCTTGCTACTGCTTTATCGAGGTGATATCGTTCCACGAAACTTTGCACCTCACCCCATTTTGCACAAATTTCATGGATCAAAGAAGTACGAACATCCTCCCTTCCTTCCTCTTCCTCTGAAGACATTTCCTTCACAATCGCCTTTTGTAGTTGTTCCAGTTCTTCCGTGCTGAATCATTCTTCTACGAATACTGCCGACGCTGATACTCCCAGCTTATCGCTCCACGATGTTGACGGCTTGCGTGTTCGTAACTCAAGACACAGTATGTCATCCGAGACGCTTTGTGTTTGGAAAATTTGTTCGTAAACTGAACTGTTCATGATCTGAGGCGTTCGTGAACCGAGGTTTGACTGTATAAGAATTCTGTTCAGAGGAGTTCAGTCTATACTACTGTATTATCTGCTTTAACATAATTAATTTGTATGTCCAACAAAACTGAAATCTACTGTGAATCAAGATTGTTATCAGAAGAGGTAAAACATTTTATACATATCTTTAGTTACTTACGGCATTGTTCCCTGCAAAGTATCATAGGACACAGTGTTGTTCCATGTGTAAGGAAGTTTATGTCCATTAATATTGAGTGTATTTGTAGAAGATGCGTAAAGAGAACCGGGGCTAGTCTGGACAAAATCCTCTGAAACAATATTAACTCAATATTACAAAATAACTAATTTTTTTCAGCATTTTCTACCAGTTTCCATATAAAAATTTCCCATTCTTAATTGTAGAAATCTTATTTTAAAATCTTTTCCTGATTTACAAGTTTATTTTATGGACAAAGTACAGCGTACTGAGTATTTATATTTCTTGCTCTCCAAGTTCAAAAATCCTTCCACATCAAATTTCAGCATAAAAATTAATTTGTTCTAGTATTTAAAATCTAAGATTGTGTAATTAATTTGAAACAAAACTGTATATCAATGAATTTTATGAACGTCTGAGAAATATGCATGAGATCTATCAAAATTAGTTCCCTGTTTCTCAAGTTAATGTAAACATACGTTCAAATGGTTCTATGTAGACAGAAGCTTCTTGCTGCATGAGTGGCACTTCTCCATTAACTTCAATGTCCACCTGCAGTGCCCCAACTTCATCAATGCCTCGTCCAACATGAGTCACAACAAGTTCCTCACCTAAACAGTTGTAATACTTATGGTTGCTTATACATAACAATTAAACAAACAAAACTTATATAATAGCATCCTGTTGTACTTTTTGCACTTGTTATTATTCTATTCTAAAGTCAATCTTTATATGACATCTTTCAGAGTTTCTTTCAATTATACTGATGCACAAACAATGCAACAAGAACATGAGACAACAAATGAGCACAAGATCTCCAAAAATACAATACAATACAAACAAACGAGACAAATTTTCATTGCTAAACACAATACAACCACCAAAAAGAAGAACTGGTAACACAAACATGCATCTACAAACATTTTAATGTTTTAATATATTGTGTTTTGTAGGATTTCAGGTTTTCACAGCAGTAAGTATGAAGAATGCTGTCTTCTGGGTTGTTGCACCATGATGACAGAGGCAGCATGACCTCTGAAACATTGGGGGACATCTACCAGACTACACATCACAACAACCCAGAAGACAGTAATCTTCATATTGTGTTTTATTAATTTATTGTAACCTCAGTATAAAATGTGTATCAAGGGCAAAAACTTATTAAAAAGAATGTGTACAAGTATACCTGATGATGACTACGTCAGTCAAACCACAATGTTCAGTTGAACATTAGTGCATCAGTTTAATAATTCCAAGAAACAATGAGAAAAGTTGTGTGAAGAGTGATGGTTGAATAGAATCGAATCAACTTCCACCTTCTACTACAGAAGTCCTTCACATGTTTCTTCCTATTTTTAGTCCCTTTAATGTATTTTAAAATGGCTTATTACCATGTAAATCCAATTTATACTTTACAGTAGTGAAATTACAGCATCATATCACATCCCACTGATCAGTTTGCTTTGGCATATTATAACAATTTCCATGTTCAGTCATATACAACGGTACTACTTTCAAACATATAAGCCAGGCTTTGTTACAATATAGACATTTCATTTTAGTTTTCTGGGATCTACTTTATAACCCATTTCAGTAAAGAATTCAATACAAATTTATTGTTAAATATCACTGTATTTGATGTCACAAGTTCAGTAGCCTTGGGAGATTGAAAAACATGTAAAAAACATTTTCAATATCTGTACCATCAGTGTCCAAAACCATCTGCAGCCATTCTCAAAGGAATGGGTGTCAATTTTGGAGTAAGATTTTTCAAAAGGATGAGACTTAACCACATACTGTGAATGCAGTTTTGGATGTGCTCAATAAAAACTTTGACAACATCAAATGTTGTCTAATTGTTTTCCCGAACGGTTCAGATATGGGTGTTCCTGGCCACCACACTCTCCAGATCTGACCCCATGTAATTATTTCTTGTGGGGCCTTCTGAAAGATAGAGTTTAGAGCCAGGATAGCTCAGTCAGTATAGTGACTACCTATGGGTTGGATGACTGGGGATAGATCGGAGACGAGGGCAGAGGATTTTTCCACTAGCGTTTACGTCTAGAGCGGCTTTGGGGCCCATCCAGCCTCCTGTCCAATGGGTACCAGGGTCCTTTCCCAGGAGTTAAGTGTGGCCGAGGCATGATGCTGACCACTCACTCCCATCTAGTGCCGAGGTCAAGAATAAGTAGCAGCTCTACCTCCCCTTCAAGAAACCTAGAAGGCATGTAGTGAGACTGCTTAAAAAATCAATCCACACACAAATGAAGAACTGCGACAAGAAATTTCAGCAGCAGTGATCGGCATAGTGAAGAAACTAGAAACCAATGGTGGACAAAATGAAAATGTTTTTGTGTGACTGTCAATCTCTCAAGACTATTGATCTCAGAGATATCGAATACAGTGAAGATTGTTATGTACTTAGGGAATTATGTGTAACTAAAGCTGAAATGTTTTCTTAGGAAAAACCTGTATATTTGTAAAACAAGAATAATACACTCCAAGGCTTATGCCATACTGCCATGTCTAATAGATACCAGAGTGGTCCAGGTATGAAGCTAATCACTGACCTTCCTTTTCTGTGAAGATTAGCATCTTTTCCTTTAAGGCCCTTATACAGTCCCATGGTATTGTGTTTCAAATCTAGAAAAAACTTTGCCTTTTCTAAGTACAGTACTTTCATTAAGTACATATCTACCATCATATACATACCTGTAGCAAATTCTATTTGTGAATGTTGTCTGAAATTGCCATTTGTAAGGGAATAGCCATTGTTGGCTTCATCAACTTCATATGCTGCATTCCATGATACTGGCGACAGTAAAAATGTCAAATATGGAAACCAACCAGCCTACGATAAAAAAAACCTGTTGTAACAGCTGTAAGTTTGATACATGGAATAAGAATACACAAAATACAATATATTACACAAAAAGAAAGCAAAATATTTGCAATATAGGATATTTTATCATTGGGTTTAAAACTCAAAATTAGGGGATTATCTGACCAAAAATTAAGGTTTTGTCTTAACGTAATATCAGCAGATTATTTATGAAAAGCTTGTGAACTTGAAAGCCATTGAGAGAGAGGTCTTGGGTTGGAACCCACAGGGGAGAAGGAAGAGAGGGAGGCCCAGACAGACGTGGCGAAGATCAGTCCATGCTGAGGCAATGGAAGTTAAAAACAGCCGTCAGTAGAACCAGGTGGCGGTGATTTGTTGATGCCCTATGTCCCATGAGGGACAACAGGAATTGATGATGATGATGATGATGTGAACTTGTCTATATTCTTTCTTCCATGAATATGAATGAAGAGATATGTTTGCTATTTGGCTGTCTTCTGAGTTGTAGCATGAATTAGGCTACATCAAGGCCATGAGAATCATGGTGCTACAACTGAGAAGACAACCATCTTCATACTCACCATCAAGAGAACCTCAAATCCTACATGTTTACTATTTATTCATTACAAACTTCATTATTTTCTCCTTGCATTGAATACAATCTGCCTAAATTGAAACTTACATTAAGTGTGAGTAGGCCTATATTGGAATTTTCTTAGATACCAAGAATACAAAGTGTGAATCAATGCAAAATTATCTGTAACAAACAGATCAGTCAGGAATTTAATCACCAGTTATTCTGAAGGCCAAATGAGACAGTAAATACACTTTGTGGGCAAAATGCCAATATAAATGATACATATGTAGTTGCCATTATGCTTTAGTCCTTTAAAGAACAGTGGTAATTATATATATATATATATGGCCTGTTCCAATATTTGATAATTTTTAATTTTGTTAACAGAGTGTATTAAATAATAAATAATATTAAAACACAATTTGTATTATTAGAGATTAAAGTAGTTTAGGTAAGATAAAAGATGTTTTCTTTTATACATATTTTGGATTTAAAAGTAACAGGTTAAGAGACATTTCAACACATGACTCAGGCTATAGATTGTAGTGATTAGTTTGTAACACATGTAGAAACAAAGTCTGAGTTGTGTATTTGATATTATGCTGTACTCTCAACAGTTAATTCCCAATAAAGAAATAAATAATAAAATAAAACAATGTTTAAAATGTATATCTAAGCAATTAATAACAACAACAACAACAACAACAGTGGGAAGTGCATAAACTGGATTGCAAGTTGCTCCAGATTCATTTTTCCAAAAGATTCATAGTTAAGAGGTAATAAAATGTTGAAAAAATACACTTATGTTTTTACATTGTCTGCAATATATTGTTTTACTTTTGTGGTAAAGCTTGCATAACATATGTACAATATGGTATATTTTCTAATGTCAGCTAGGAGCAATCAGGATGCTAAGGTGCAAAGAACACATGCGGAAATTGTATTCCAGTACAGATTACACCTTTCCAGCTTCATTTCTCCAAACCAAATACAATATTTTCACTACAGGGCCAAGCTCTCAATACTCTGTAAGACACAGTATGTTACCTTGAATTAATATGGCTATCAGAGGAAAACTTGTATCAGAGTTGTAATTAACTCTTGACTGAAATTTAAGTGAACTGTATTCAATTCACATGACATCCATTATGTTAGTGTATAAAATGTTGCTTATAGAACTGTAATGCAACTGATAACTTATAAAAATGCCACAGACAGTAAAGAGTAATGACAACCTTCTAAAAAGAAGTGCATACCTGTTGTTTAATTATATCCTTGACTTTAGCTGACACTGCCCGTCGTGGTCCCATATCTGTTATGTTGGCAGCGATCACATTATTATATAGGTTCTCCCCATTAAGGTTACCCTTTACACGAAGAGCTGCAACTAGTGGAATATTGCCACAGCTCCTAGCCATACATTTCTCAATCTGAAATATTTTCATTTTGAAAACATTAATGATTTAAAAAATTATTTACACAGTCTCTTTATTACCAGCTGGTAAGAGAAACCATTGAGAATGCAAGGCCAAGAAAATTTGGCATCTATAGGGAGTTGAATAATTTGATCACCCTTCTTTAAGCCGCCTTCTCTTTTATTTATCACATTCATATAGCACAATACTCTTTATTAAGCCTTGCTAATTTTTATTTATTCTGATTCCTGTAATTATGCTCTTTTGACCTGTTTTGAGTCTATGCATCTGGTAAGAGAATGATTCCATGTCTGTAATGACATAATCTACAGAATAAGATTTAATTTACTTTCAAGTCTTCCTACAGAAACAGAAAGGGATTCTTAAAGCCAAGGTACCAGAATAATAACTTTGTTCTCTAGAAGTACTCCATAATGTATTTTTTTGTAACCACAGACATGTTTTCTGATTTTTGTATGCTAACCTAATAGGCTTAGACTGTTGGATTTAACCCTCTGCCATCCTCATTCGTCATGCTGTTTCCCTAGCCTGCAGGACCACATTTTCGAAGTGGCCTTTTAACTATTAAATTATCACTGCATAAAATTCACACACAATTTGAAAATCTTACATATCTTGCTATCCATGAAAACACATTTTGTCATGGACAGCGTTTTAGAGCATTCAGGCCAGCGTCGCAATTTAAATGGTCGAGTGTTCTAGAGCATTACGTCCAGCAATGGATTACAGATATAATACTATACTGACTGCAGAGATTTTGTAAATCTGAGGAGCTATGATCATAATTTGGGAGGGATGTTTAGTGAAGTGGTCATAGTCAATATGAACATAACAATACAGAAATAATGCTTTGAGATACTGAGGATGTAATACATCAGTCAGATTAGTCAGTCAGGAGACAAGATTTGAACTCCATACTCCATGAAACCAAATATGCTTGATAATTGGCAAAGGCATAAATTGTGCACATGTTCTCTCAAATACAAGTACAGTAAACCCCCTCAAGTTGGACACCCCTTCATATTGGACACTTTTAATTGGAACTGGCGAATATCCTATAATTTTACATGTCCACAATACCCTATATCTTGGACACCCCTTTATCCTGGAACTTAAACACCCCTTTTGTTGTAAGTTGGACAGGTTCATGCACTTAACTTCGATGCTTTTCAGGGAAACTTTTTCAGTTACATATTTTGTTATTTTGAATTTCTGACATTATGGACATTTAACCCATCATTGGATTGCATTGCAAGTGTTTAACTATTCTTTGCTGAACCCTCCACTGGACTATAGTATTGCAGAAGACACAGTTTTAAGCCCATCAGTTCTGTGCTTACATTTGAGTTCAGACTGTGTTAACAGAAATGGAATTTTTCTTTTTACGATGGGGAAGCGTGATGGTCATTGGCTAGCTTTCGGCAAGCAAAAATAAAAATTTCCAGAAGTAGAAAGAAAGTTTTCTTTACATTTATACGACAGGCAACAATTTGATTCTGTGACGTCAAGTGAAATGTGCCATCTGCAGACATTAGAAATTGTGAGAGAAATTTGAATCCAAGAACTCAACACAAGCTTAGAATAGTCAGACATATTTTTGAAGGAAACAATATTTATAGAAGATGTGTGTGAAGAAAAAATGTTAGCATTTCAAAAGTGCCAGCATCACAGTTTGGAACATTGATAATAACAGCAATTCAGATGGCACTGACAGCATCAGTGAAGAATGCCAGCAACTGAAAGTATGTAACACACTTTTCATGCTATTAAAGTTGTATAAGTCATTATGAGTACTTTTATAGATTTATAGAGCAGGACATTAATATAATTTATCATTTTTTGGTCTTTTGTAGTAGTAGTATTTATATAACATTTTCTTCTTACACAGTATAAAAAATTTTAATGCACACAGAATTTGAATTAATATCATAACATGCTCCTGATGCCTTCTATGCAAGTATTATCCACACAGCTGCTTCCCAAATACCTAAAAATTGTGTTAGGTGAATGACAGTTCCTCGCATTACCAACGACATGATCAGAGGAGAACCTTGTAAAGGGAGGCTAATGGAGTTTTGTGAGCTCTTAAGTCTGGCAATGGCATATAAACAATGTTTTGCAAAAAGAACTATATGAAATGAAATGTCACTCACCCTGCTAATATCTGTCTCATTTTCCCACTTGGGTCGTACCACGTAGTCTTTGTTAGAAGGTCGTGGAACACGAGCCCTAGCCACCCATCCTTTGTCTCCTGGACGTAATGGCCTGCAACATTACATACCACTGCATCTGTACTGAATCAATTACATAAATATCATGCAATTTATTCTGATTAATGAAAAAGTACATTAATTTGTGATCATTTGTACTGAATTCAGAATTTACTTCATTTGAAATTGTTCCAATTAGATGAAATAAATATCTTATCTCTGTCCCTAACATCTTACTGGTTGAGATTACATTTGGATGGAAGTATAGTAAGCATCTGCAAACCAAATTCCGATTTCTGTTAGCACTTTTCAGGCTTCAGTCACTATTCCACAAATCCGGCTGAACATAAGAATGACAGAATCAATCACAAACTGCTGTGTATTCATAATGTGTAATTAACACTCTGCTTTAACGCAATCCTTTCTTTAAGGTAAGTAGGTCTCAGGTTGAGGGAACCATTTTCATTCAGTTATGCGCCAACAGAAATTACCATAAGGCACCTTCACTTAAGTTTCATTAAAGAGCAGCATATATTTATTTATTCAACTTGCATTTTATTATGAGTCAGCATCACCTCATCCCATAAATGCCATAGGAAGAATGGGCATACAGAAACAAAAAACAGCAAGCCTACTCTGAGGCAGGATTCTTAATGATCTGCAGATCCAAATTTGCTCTGGGTGATTTCTATGCCTTCCATTTCCATTGTTTAACACTGTATCTCGAGTACATAATTACCTTGGCAACATGTTTTTCCTGCATGTCATGTCATCGCTTGGATTGAACTCCTTCAAAAGTTAAAGCTAAACACCTTTGACTGGTTCCATGATGCCACTAACCCCAAGATGTCACTAATTGCATCACGTTTGGATGGAACTGAAGTGACAGTGCCAATCTTGCACTTACTTGCCCTCTGCCTCCCCAGATGAGAAAGCCTTATTGATGTCCTGTTTGGCCTGGCGCTCCTCCTCATCCAACGTGCACCGCCTCTTGGGCATCTGTTCTAAATCACGCTGTACTCTCTCCTCTTTGGTCATAGCTGCAAGAACATATTGTTTCTATACCCAAAACACAGCACTTAAAAAGTAACAAGCTGTACACACTTAGCAAATATCTGAAACAATCTTACTCAAAATTTTGTTATCTGCTGTCAAATTCAATTATTTTTACCTTACTAGTGAAAGACTACACAAATGGCAATGTCAGACTTTTCATCCACATTGCAAGCTTCTAATAAAATAAAATAAGAAATCAAGGTAGATTCCCAGCACAGACACACATAAATATTTCTTAAACACCAATTTGGTCTGAACCACCGACAGTTCTGTATCATTTACATTCACTGTGAGTTGTTACCTTTGAAATCAGTGGAGACATTGAATATAGGGCGAGCCCATTCATTGATGAGTTTGCCAGCCCGCTCCTTGTTTTCCTTAGTCTCCCTGGGATGCTTGTAGAGATACATGATTGCCTTCCCTATGCCAGACATCTTCAGTGTCTCCTGCGTGATCCCTGGAAACTGCAATATTTATGTTGCTTTAATATAAAATATTACATGCAAAATTTAAAAATTAACAGGGAAAAGTCTACTTCAACATTCAACTTAATGTAAAAGGGCTTGTGTATGTTTATGGATGTACTATAATACAGCACACATGCATGCACCCCCCCCCCCCACACACACACACACATTAATAATGATACCCTGTACTGCAACATACTCTGCTGCCACCAATCATGTTTATACATCCTGATGTTTAGACATACTCTTGTCAAAATTACCACTGAACATGTAGGATTTGAGGTTTTCATGGCGGTGACTCTGAAGATTGCTGTCTTCTGGGTTGTTGCACCGTGTAGTCTGGTAAAATATTACCGACGTTTCAGAGGTCCTTGCTGCCCCTAATGATGGAGGCAGCAAGGACCTCTGAAACGATGGTAAGCTTCTACCAGACCACATGGTGAAACAACCCAGAAGACAGCAAACTTCTTACCACTGAACATGTCCTATTAACTCTCTTCAGGGACTTACACACTATGGAAATACACCTTTTTACACATGGGAAAAGAGGATTTAAACCCCCATACTATGTCGCTGCCAGCCAGACTTGAACTCTAGGGATAATGGTTTAGTGGTATGCTAGTGTGATGCATGGCAGACATAAATTACAACACACAGTTGTTAAAAGTTACAAAATTGCCCTTTGCCCATATCAGTAACTACCAGTTGGAAGTCTAACTGCTTTACTCGCTTTCACCAACATTACTTTAATGATTTCTGATCTTTACATTTTCAATATCTTTTATTCACTTTAATACCGTGACTGTAAGTTGGCTTCACAATGCAGCCTCAAAATCTTGGACAACCGATGAATAAATATCCATCAATTCTATCCCACTCTCCTACCCACACTTCTATGGAATATGGTTTGGGGATCACTGCTCTAAGAAACAATCAAGGAAATCCCAAGTTAAGTTTGGAGAATTGAGAACACGTTAAACTGAATCATGAGAATAAAGTTGCTTAAAAGGTTACAGAAAACATTCCACATAAGGGTTACCATCTAGTATGATCATATGTGTAAACAGTTTACCATTTTCCATGAACTGGACATGGGGGTTGGTTACAATACTCCTGCTGTCCATCAGCCCCAAGACAGGGTTTGCCTCCATAAGTTGGTGCAGGGTTGTTGCACTTGCGATATCGTCGCCTGGTACCACGTCCACAAGATTCTGAACAAGATGTCCATTCTGACCATTCACTCCACATACCATCAACCTAAAGAGAAATAGGCCTATTGTAAGTCAGTTTCCTATAACATGAATGCTTTATGGTATACTTTTACTAGAAATATTGAAAGACAAACAACAGATTATGACTGATTGTTAACGCGGAGCACAGCTGTGAACATGAAAGCTGAAGGTTGATTTCGAGGTTAGTCACTCTGATGTCAATGTGTCCAATCCTAACCATGAGTGCACTAATCTCCTCTGAAACATCGGTAAACTTCTACCAGAATACACGATGCAACAACCCAGAAGACAGCTATCTTCAGTAAATTGTTAAATCTCACAGAAGAAATGGCATGGATGTCAGAAAATGTGAGAGTTTGAGGATCTCACATTGGTGAAGATGTAGAAGATGTTCTTCTGAGGTGGAAGAGGAAAGACAAAAGGATGGATAATGTATCAAAACATATGGCCTATTATTTAACTTTTCCTTCTGACTTGTATGGTCTGAAGCTTTCATAGTAACTAAGTATTATAAATTATTCTCAGGCTACCAGCTGTGTAAGGTGGCCTAATGAAGAAAACACCAATGTTTTAAGAACCAACTCCTACAACTTCACCCTGAGGATGAGGACAAAGATGGTTCTCGAAACATTGATGTTTTCTTCATTAAACCACCTTACATGTCTGGTAGCCTGAGAAGATTTATTTCCTTCTGACTGGTTGCTTTTTCTGTTGTGTGTTCACTGCCACGAGTTATGTTTATGTCAAACATTAATTACTTTCTTTTACTTGTAACCATATGTATCATTAAAATGAGTGTACAATATAGTATTGAGCTAGTGGGTGCCTGTTGCTGGCTGCTATTTTGAAACTGAAAGAAACTTTAAATAGGAAATGTGTTTTGACCCCTCAGGGACCCACATCAGTGGGGACAGTGAATGGCTCCCCCAAGGTACCCAAGATAACCAGTGCCTGGGGGTATAGCTAGGCCACCCTACCTCCAGGAGCTGTAAAAACAGAGGTCTGGTCCTCCTGGTTGGGGGTTGGGTGTGGGGATGTCAACCCCATCCTGTAAAAAGCAACTTGTTATGAAATCACATGAACGAATAACAAAAAGGGTGTTTACTGCCAGGCCAGAAGGAAAAAGAGGAATAGGAAGGCCGAAAATGAGATGGAGGGATAGTGTGGACCAGGACGCTGAAGCTCTAGGAGAGAGGAATTGGAGGAGATTGTCTGTGAGTGAGGAAAAATGGAAGAAGCTTTTGAAGAAGAGTAGGGCCCACACAGGGCTGTAGAGCCAATGATGATGATGAAATGTGTTTTGATATAAATATATCATAACCCAGTGTATTTTTAGCCAAGATTACATAAATTATAAAGAAAGTGACAAAATTAATTGAATATATGTTTTAAAATTATTTATTAAAAAACTGTGTAATTATTAAGTCTCTGAAAATAGAGTACTGTACGGTTGTTACATAAATGAATACAGCAATGGAACATGCACTAAGGATGGTTCAGGTGAGCCAAACTGTCTTAAGAATAATAATACTAAAATGTTTTTAAAAAAAAGAATTTCAGATTGGTACTGAACTGTTAAGGTCGGTCATGGAAAAAAGATAATCAGATTCACAGGCTTATACTAATTATGTGAATTCTTTAATAACTTAAGTACTTACTGGGCACTCAGACATATGACAACTTTGTATTTGCTCTGGGTCTCCTTGGCAATTGCTTTCATCAACAAACTCATCTGTGTCTTCACCACATACGCGTACACGGATCTGTATTCCTGGACCACATGTAACACTACATTCACTCCAACCTGACCATGTACTCCATTCAGCTGGTACTGCAATGGATGTTTGATCACATAATATTAATCTGCAGAAGGTCAAGTGAATGACTGATGATGAGGGTAGCTGTGACTGCTGGAAAGTTATGGTCCTCCA